GAGTCCCCAGTGCTAGAAGGATGTAGACATTTTGAAGCAAGTCCAGAGGAGGGCCACCAGAACGATCAAGGGATTGGAGCACCTCTCGTATGAAGACAGGCTGAGGGAGTTTGGGCTGTTCATCCTGGAGAAGGGAAGGCTTGGGGAGAGGGGGACCTTATAGGGACGTTCCAGTACCTGGAGGGGGCCTACATGAAGGTGGGGGAAGGTCTATTCAAAAGGGTTTGTAGTGATAGGACAAGGAGTAATGGTTTTAAACTAGGAGAGGATAGATTTAGACTCAATATTAAAAAAAAAAAAAACAACTTAAATATAAGAGTAATAGATCATTGGAATGGGCTGCCCAGAGAGGTAGTGGAGACCCCAACCCTGGAGTCATTCAAGGTCTGGCTTGATAGGGCCCTGGGTGACCTGACCTAGTTAGAGATGGCCCTGCTTGTGTGGGGAGGTTGGACCAGATGAGCTCTAGAGGTCTCTTTCAGCCTAAAACTTTATTCTATTCTAGTCTAGTCTATTCTAGTCTAGTCTAGTCTCTGGCCACCACAAGGAGGAAATGCAGGGACTAGTAGATCACCACTCAGATGATCTCAAGTGCAAACTCAAGTTCAATAACAGATGTAGTTCATGGTCTGCACCTTGGGCAGACTCTATAGGAAGAGCTAGGGGAAGTCAAGGGCACAATGTTAAAAGACTAGCAGCAAAAGAATGATGGGGCTGCTATCTCACTGGATTCATCTGCTATGCTGGAGGGAGGATTGGAGCATTTGTTGAGTCAGCTTACATTAAAAATAAAACATGAATTAAATAACACATCAGTAAATCTGCAAGTAGTATTAACCAACTGAAGCATTCATTAAAATAAAACACTTAGGCAATCATAGTGCAGATAAGACAGTCCACAGAACTCTGGCCAGATAAAATCACACCTCATTAATCTTTTGGATGTTCTGGACATATCTACAGAAGAGCTTATGTCACTGCTGTTTGAAGAAGCCTTTGACCCAGACCTTCACAAGAAATGCAGACGGAGCTGACAGTCTATGGGTCAGATGCACAGCAATGTTACACATCAGGGAATGACTAAGATTAAATAAGAAAACAAGCTCATTATTTTTGGTCAAGCTGTTCTTCATAGCCAGATGGGGAGGAAAAAAAAAAAAAAAAAACAAAACCAAATAAATGAGTCAAGTGGAGGAGTTTTCTTCCAGAGACATTTTGCTTGTATCTTGAGTGTCTGCAAGAAGTGGAAGGCAATGCAGTTATACTCTTCTACTGATGAAGTTCTTAGGACATTTACAGTGGCTTAACCAGTAGCTACAATTAGCATTTAATTATTCCTTCTTAATCCTAACAGATCTAACTATGAAAACACTTTATTTCAGTATGCACTGTAGGGACTGAAGTATCATTTTGAGCAGGTAAAATCTGCAGGCTTTTTGCCAACTTTAGCTCATTTAAGTATCAAAATAGTGTTTTAGTGGGGCGTGACCAGTACTTTTATGGTTCATACCACCCCTCAGCATAGGACTAATTTCACCCATCGGGTGTGTTAAAACTTCATTCCATACAGGAAATAAGGACATGCTTGTATGAATGAAATGTCCTTGGAGACTGTCTAATGCAGTCTCCAGGGCTGTGTCCTGGGTCTAGCCTCTGACAAACTCGGCAGTGTGATCCTTGCAGACCATTACTCACCCAGGGTGGCATCATTGCCACAAAGAAAACAAACGTCTCTTGAGAGCTGAGTAACAGCAGAGTTTTGTCCTGATTGGCGGTGGGTGAACTCGATGGCTGTTGGGGCCTGGCTGCATAGTTTTATTAAGAGGCTTTCCAGAAAACCTCCCAGAAAGGAGGAAATGAATGTGCTCATCAGGAAATTGCTTTTCTGGGAGATGTCCTAATCACTCACACTGCAAAGAAGCAGGCTGCCTTTTGCAGGCTCTGCATGGCTACTGCCCTGCATGCCTGCAGTGTGCAGTCGGGGCAGTCCGAAAAATAGGCACAATGTGTCTGCTGGGTTATACTGAGTGTGAGGAATTGGTAACCCTCAGGGGTCTGTAACCCAGCCAAGCCTGGGAACGTGCCCGTGGGAATACCAAACAGCTCCTGCAGCCCAGGGCTATGTCCCTGCCAGAGCGACAGCCTTCAAACGATGGTGGTCTGCGTGCTGGTTTAAAAGCAGGTGTCTCATGCCCTTGCTGCCTTTTCAGCTTAGGTGTAACATATGAAGACTGCGTTTCCCCCAGCAGCCCAGCTCTCATCCAAAGTCTCCTCTCTTCTGTTTTCACACAGGGATCTACCGCACAGAAAAAGACAAAGGCACATTGTATGAGCTGACTTTCAAAGGAGATTCAAAACATCAGTTCAAGAAGATTGTTTTATTCCGGCCATTTGGTCCTGTGATGAAAGTGAAAAATGAAAATGTCAATATAGCTGACACACTTATTAATGTCATTGTGCCATTGGCCAAGAGAGCCAGCAAATTTCGCCAATTCATGCAGAATTTCAGGTGAGTTTCCATTCCAGTGCTGCCTTTACTTTTTCTTACTTGGAAAATAAGATGCAATTTCAAGAATTATCAAGGCCTCACTCAGTAAAAATCATGCTACTTTTACATAACGTTTCATTGTGCCACTGAGAAGTCATTTTTGAGATGATAGAGTTTGAAAGGTGTTTGGCTGCTTAATGCATTGTGATTAGCAGTACAAGCAATTACATTCCAGTCATCAGGGCTTCTGATTTGCATGTACTTGACTTATGTGTCTCAGTCTGTTCTGGTGGGGCACACAGGACTGTGGCAACAGGAGAATTTCATGCCATTAGTTGCAAAGGAACATTTCTAAGAAAAAAGGGAATTAGTGCTCCCAGACACTTTACTAGGCCGTAATAGAAGAAAAGATAAAGAGAATAAGAGGCAAGAAGGAAAGGTATTTGAACTTTCAGGATAGTTACTTTTAAACTTCTTTTATTTTTCAGCAGAGGTGATGTTTGGAGGGAGAATTTAATGGAGATGTAGCCTTAAATAGCTTCCCAGAAGAGATTGTGTTAGTAAGAGATACTGACTCTTACAGTGGGGTTTGTTTTGCCTAATTACAGGCATCTAAAATTAGGCTCCTTGTCTAAATTAGCCATGTGATAGATGCTTGATTTAGGACGGGAGAAATCACCCTCTGGTCATGCTGATCTCTCTGCTGATTACAGATGAACTCTTGCTGACTAAACTGTGCAAGTGAGACATGACGCCTAGCAGTAGTTCAGATTGGTCCTACCCTTAGGCTGCCAGCTTGATCTCTGGTGGATACTTAGGTTCTAGTAGATGTTTCTTAACAAAATGTCGAAGATGATCTCAATTCTGGAATATCTGTTACAAAAAAATGAAGGTTAAGAGGTATATTTTGTATAGCATCTTTAAAAATCCCCTTCTCATATTCCCCTAAGTGCTGGAGTTATTGCCTGCCTGGTCATTGTTCCTGGGGCTGGATGACCTGCTTTAACAGTGTCCTACCATTAATGTAGTAAACACTGCTTAGAGAGGTTTTTTCCTAGTCTGCCTGAAAGATAGTCTTCTGTCCCATCTGACAGAGCACCTTTGTCAGGACAAGGAGCTCTGCCAGTGACTGATGCCCTCAGGAATGCCTTCCAAGGTTCACCCTACTCTGCCTTCCCCAGTGGGTGTATGTTATTGAACAGAGCCAGCTTCTGCAGCAAGTCACACATCTGTCTCTGTTCTCTAGGGAAATGGGCATTCAGCGTTTACTTTGGAAAAGAGCAAATGAATGAAGTCAAATCGATACTTGAAAATACCTCCAAGTAAGTACCCGAATATCTGGTGTGTGCAGAGACGTGTAGGCACATACACGATGGGACCGTGCAGTGGGGACTAGACAGCTGTCCACACTCATAGCTGTGCCAAGGAGTTCTAAACTCCACTGGAGAACATTGCTTTCTTTCCTTTGGATCAGATAAAGATGGTGTTACCCTGACAGCCCCACACCGTTGGCCTTGTGATGTTGGTTTTTAGAACCACAAAGCAGATTTTACTGATTTTAACTCAGTGCAGCTTTTTTTTTTTTTTCCCCCCCCACACTGGTAACTTCTTTAGTGCTTTTGCAAGTGGCTTTAACTGTTAGGACTCAAAGCTGACTTCCAAAGGCAGGTGCAGAGAATTTCAACAGAGCGCACAGAAGCAGGATGCTTTTGGCCAGGTCTATTGTGTTTGCTTGCAGAGCTGTATTTCTCAAGATCATGTGGCAGTGCAGGCTTTTGTCATCATCTCCATGTAGAAGAAGACCCTTGTATAGATACAGTAATACAACAACAGCTATTTTTTTATTTCCTTACTGAAGATATTTTTATTTATCCTAAAGCCTTGTTGGGATATTTGTGAGGTCTGCCCAAAGAATATCTGTGACTACTGTAGGTGTACACAGGTCGAGCTCTGAATGTAGGCACAGTGGAAACCTCAAGGCTCAAAGAGGACATTGCTTCTCTCAAACTGCTCTCAGAACGATGATATGGATTTCTAGGTTAATTGTTTCATACTGAGTTCCCACTCCTGCTTGTATTAAGAGCTGGAAGGACAACGTAAGTTGCTGAATATTTTCCTTCTCCTAGGTCAGCTAACTTCAAGAACTTCACCTTCATCCATCTGAATGAAGAATTTTCCAGGGGCAAAGGATTAGACGTTGGTGCTCGACTCTGGAAAGGAAACAATGTTGTTCTCTTTTTTTGTGATGTGGATATATATTTCACAGCTGAATTCCTAAACTCCTGCAGATTGAACACACAGCCAGGTACTGCTACTTGTGAAGTGTATTGTCTTTCAACAGATTTTTACCTGTTGTGTAACCGCCTTCACCAGTGTATTCTTGCCTTTGAGTTGGTAATGAAGCTGCTATAAGTCATTCTTGAAACTCAGGGTACTAACTAAGATGTATAAAAAAATCCATTGCTGTCTGGCTTTTGAAAGGTCCTAACACTCTTGGTGCCTCTTTGTTTGAATTTCTTGCCTTCAGCACCCATGCCTTCTGGAACAGGATCTTTTTGTTAATCATATCTTCACATTCACATTCTCAGGCAAAGAACATAGGTTCAAGTCCAAAACTTGTGCAACTTTGTCTAGAGTCAGTCTGGCCTGGACAGTATCTTGTAAGAAAGAGACGTGTGTTTTATACAGCTTTTTAAAAAAAACAACCCATTGTCATTTCCAGGGAAAAAGGTGTTTTATCCTGTTCTCTTCAGCCAGTATAACCCCAGTATAATTTATGGCCACCATGATTCCATCCCATCTTTGGAACAGCAGCTGGTAAGTACATGCTTCTCTGAATGCTTGCTTTTATTTGGACAAAGCATTTGTTTAAGGCGCATGTGCTCTTGGGTAGCATCTCCCTACTCCTTGTGCACAGTGGTTACCACACAGACGAAATTATAGCAGTCACCTTCCTGTGAGTTCTGCAGTTAAGTTTCACAGGAAAGTATCTTGGTACCATTTATCTTAACCCTTGTTTGATGTTTTATATGTGGAACCTAAGAAGTTAAACCACATCTGCTTCTCTGCCAGAAGGGATTTTCTAATTAGTGAACACTTCCTCCAAGTTGTGCTGTCTTGGGGTGACAGCCTAAATCTATCTTGTTCTTCCTTGCACTGTATAGTTTCTTTGCTTGCATCTTGAAAAGCTGCCATTTTATAAAAAGCATATATATATCTGTAGATGAGTCAGTGAAAACAGAATTCCAGTGGCTGTCACAGTTATTCCCCCACATCCTAGAATACCTATGGTGGCTTTTCCCATCCCACAGATCATGATTAAACTGCCTGTGAGCAGACAGTGTGTTCCTGAAGTGTACCACGTTGTCCTGGAGTCAAATTATATTCTTGGAGCTGTCCCTTCTGCCTTTAGTCTGTCACTGACAAAACACAACATACCTCCACTGATTTCCATCTCACCTGCTTATCTTTGGTGTGAGAACAAAGCATTATTTTTAAAAATGCTGCCATAAAGCATACGATTAAAACATGTAGTTAAACCCAGGTGAATCTCCTTCATAAAGAAGAAGCTGTTGTGAAGAAGAAGCAGAGCACATAGATAAGAGGTTCTCATGAATGCTACTGGCATTGCCTGGCACTGCTGCAGATCTGTTCTCCATTCTCTTGTGCTCTGGCATTGCATTGTCTTGAAGCTAAAGGGGTAGGAGAAGCAGGGTGTTCCCCTTATGGACGCCCTCCCCTCTCGCTTCTCTCCAGAGTCAGCAGGTCACGGTCCTCTGCCCACAAGTGCTGCTAAGTGGCTGAATTTTCAAGTTGAAGCATAAGCCAGCTATGCAGCTTCATGCAGTTCCCTTCTGTCCGGTTCCAGCCTTCCTACTGCCAGGCAGTGCACCCGTGAGGCAAGAATTAGGAGTGTTGTGGTCCCAGCAACAGTCACAGCTGAAAAAGATCACCAGGGGCCTGAGTCCAGTCTTCTGTCATCACTACCCCCACCTTGTGCAATCCCTCTAGAAAAAATGAAGGACAAGAGGTTGAAAAGTCCACCCAAAATTAGTTGGTTTTTGGTCTACTGCTCCCTTTGTTGTCTATCAGGTAGCCAGAAAGTCTTTTACTTGGGAGTCTGTAAAATCCTTTCCACTGTTTTTTTCTCAGAGGAGACTTTTTCTGATAATACCATGGGATTCACATCAGCTCTTCTCTCTCTGCTGAGAGCCAGTCAGGGATCTTCAGGCTTGTAAGCACTGTGCTTAGGAAATGAAATAGAGTTTAGCTCTGAAGCTAGCATAAATTCCACAAAGTACATTGTTAGGGTTGTGCAAATATTTATAGCTAATGTTTGAATCATAAAATGTGCTGCTTATGTCAGAAAAGCTTCTTGATTTAAGGAAGTACTGCCAATCTCATTTTTATGTAGATTTTTATATTTTCAGCCCACATTAGTTCCCAGGCATGGGGCCAGATCTGTGCCATTAAAACAAAACAGTGTTAGCTCCCTGTCCTTGGACCCAGGCTGCTGAGGGGAAAAAAAAAAGCCTTCAGAAATCTTTGAAAGGATCTGATTTGTGCAGCAGCCACTTGCACTAATGGGAAATAATAATGCTAATGCATACGAGTAGCTGGCTGTAAGGCCATCGTTATGGAGATTTCTTGTTACAGAGCAGACCTGACAGATACAATCTTGTTTCCTTTTGATTGGCTTCTGCAGTGGCTTGGCTTTTTCAAGGAAAGGAGAAAGGAGAGAGGAAAGAGATATCAATGTGAGCAGTAAAATAACAATAATAATAAAAAAAAAAGCCATTGAAGTGACAAGGGTTATGAACAAAAAGGAGAGGCTTGAATGAGAAATCAGGAAAGACTACTTTGGAAGAGGATTTTTTGACAAAGGAAATGCTGAGATTTGTATATCCAGAAATGGCAATTCTGTCTCCTCATGTTCTGTGACTTTGTTACAAGTGAAGCCAAAGTTTTCAAGAATAACTGCTAAGGCACAGGTTTGTAACCAGCCCTTCACCAGAGTGAAGTACTGCTGACTTGTTCAGAGGATTTAAATACCTGCCCCAATCCCCTGAAACTCTTGGATGTCTCACCAGGTTGGGTTAGGTCGCTTACACACATGCATTATGACCATAGGGATCTACACTTGGATATCTGCTGCTGAAAATGATAGCCATGGTTTCTCACTGCTCTGGTTTCCTGCCTGTGACACACACAGCTTTCATGGTCCATCTCAGTAATGCAGGCTGCATATTCATTATTACAAAGGTTTACATAGGATATATATCTACCACCTAACTTCTCTGGACTTGAATTTTACCTGGTTTTAGCAGTTCTGTAATGGAAAACTCTTCTTACCACTTTCCTAATTTTTGTCAAAGTTAAGGTAATCAAAAAGCTGTCAGTTGTGCCATCAGATTAGAACCACTCTTTTCTTCCAGAACTCTTGTGGCCCACAGTCCAGATGCCACCATCTGCTCCACAGCAGTGTCACTTCCCTGCTTGTACTCGGGTGTTTCTTATGACAGATTTGAATCCCACAGAAACTAATGATTTTGAGGGTGTTTTGCCTGCAAAGAAGCAAACTGCAGAGAGTGATGGGATATTGCTCCACTTGGTCTGCAACAGCAGGAGTGGAGGAAAACCTGATCACTCCAGATCAGGCGGTTTATCGATGATAGCTAATGGCTGGGTTTTGATAGCTGGGTTTTTGTGGGGGGCAGAAACATACAAAGAGTATCTACAAAAACTGGTTCAGGATCAGCCATGGATTTATATGGGGAAGAATAAAAGTTTCTGTTTTCTGACCATGTTCAGTGACTTGTCTGCTGCTCACAATGAAAACATTTCTGCTCTCATATAAACATTCCTTTCTCTCCATGCAGGTCATTAAAAAAGAAACCGGATTTTGGAGAGACTTTGGTTTTGGGATGACTTGCCAGTACAGATCTGATTTTATTAACATAGGTAAGAAAAATACACTCCAATATATTTTAGTGAAACGTAGAAATTTGTGATCAACTTCCCTCTCCTTGCCCAGTGTGTCTCTGCCTCTAATTGATAGCAGTGCTCTGGTTAGATATTCAGACTATTACTAGGTGCCGTAGAAATTGCCAGAATCTGAGCACTTCTTAGTACAAATAAAGCAATTTTGTCTGATAGGGAAAG